GTGCTCTTTCACACATGATCCTTGTAATCTGGCATGCATGTTTTCATGGTGACGGGCCAGGGGATAGGCGCAAAGCAGGCACTTAATCGAGAACATGGAGAGATCGTTGCTGGGAATTCATAAATCAAATTTGAATAACTTCACTTGAATACAAGACTGACATGAAAACTATAACGTAGGTGTTCTGCTGTCATGTAATGTTGATCATGTTAGATTGTCACTGCAGTAAATTCTTTAGCAATAATTTGTTTTCGAAAGCTGGGGATATGAGACAAAAGTGATAGTGAGAAAATCTTTGTTTAGGTGAAAACACTTTCACTGAAGTAAGTACTGATAATTTGCACTGTCGTAGGAAAATATGTTCAAAGTAACAATTGCATGTGCATTGTTTACGCATTCAAACATGCATTTCTTTCATGTCATGCGAGTAACAAAGGAACCTTTTTCATTTAAATTGAAGCTATTTATATTCCCCAACGCAATGAATATAATAGAGGGGAGTGTTTCATGTGACGACTAAATTATACACAAATATCAGCATATCGAACAGTTCAAACTGGATGTGTATCTTTTTCTCATAAAGCTTCGGAGAATATGTGCAATAATGTGTACGCACGAGTGCAAATTGTAAAGAAAGGAACGCAATACTTGGTGAGGAACAAGGGATACTAAGAGAGGGAGAAGGGATACTAAGAGAAGGAGGAGAGATACCAGGAGAGGGAGAAGGGGTACTAAGAGAAGGAGGAGAGATACCAGGAGAGGGAGAAGGGATACTAAGAGAAGGAGGAGAGATACCAGGAGAGGGAGAAGGGGTACTAAGAGAAGGAGGAGAGATACCAGGAGAGGGAGAAGGGGTCTCTCAACCAACATGCCGAAACTGATCTTTTTTCTCTTTTATAAGTAGATGGTTTGCTTTCTTGCAACATGTGTTTCCTCTTTCTTTTCGGTATAGAATTACTATTTTTTATTTTATTGCATTCCTCAATCTTCATTTTCTTTTCGTAAAAAGTAGAATTGAACTGGATTCTGCAGGTATCATGCATTACCTGTAAGTTTTAGTCTTTTTTCTCATGGGTTTACTTTGAAAAGTACCTGTTTCTAAGTTTGTAGGAAAAGAATAAGGCAAAAACTCAGAAAGATTAAACGCGTCAAAATTTTCAGAAAATGGTCTTAGGTAAGCTGAGTTTCCTTGTGAGAAGAATTTTGGTACCCGAAGACATTATTTATACCTTTGTTACCTCTGTCTTCTTTTCTACTTTTTCTTAGCTTCATATGACCATTATAAGGTCTTTGTCCTCATCTCAGTTCATTCACATAAGACAGAGGAGATCTCAAGTCAGCACACAGCCGTTGTCAGATTGTTTGTTCACTCAGAAAAAAAGATCTTGCCGGAGCCCTCTGTAATTTCACATGTTGCATGATCATCACACCACAGCTCTTGTCCAAAAATTTCTGGCCAAAATATTTTGTGTGTAGGAATGAAGGAACTGAGCGATCGTGACCAATAGAGTAAAAGCGTAGCGACATATATGGCTAACTTTTCGTTGTCACCAAGGGTGAGGACAGCTTAATAAATGGTTACGACCTGCACTAGTTCACACCTTCTTGAAGTCTGGTGTAGAGGTAAACACACCATCTGCCACATGGCCAGTCTCCTAATTTTGGAAAATTTGTTAAAGTCACACTACATATGAATATGCACATGCCTTTTATTGAAGCTGGCAAGTTTGTTTAGGTGCATGTCACTAAAAATGTGTTTGTTTGAAGAGAGATAAAGAAAATCCGGGAATGCATGTTGAAAGGAGCTTTGATTTCAAGAAATGCATGTTTGAGGGGTATTTTTCCCACGGTCGTTCTGTTCTGGTCCCTCGTGCCACGATAAGAATTTCACTTCACTCCTACTAGACTGTACTGTGCATCCCTCTCCTTATCACTGCAATGGCCGTTACACCACACCAGCTACCATGTCGGGTTCCTTCACCTGTTATCTGTTCTATTTCAATATAACACTGTCTTCCACTTTAAAACTCATGAACATGAGGAAATTGGGGGAAACAAGAATGTGGTCCCGTCCCAAAAAGAAGTAGGCCGTATTGATGCAGACAAGAACGTCTTTGTGTTGACTTTTTACAGGTTTTTTTCTATAGCAAAAGCAGCAGACTGTTGGTTCAAAAGATATACCTTTCCTAACATTAGTGGAGACCAAGTGCTGTAAATTTGACCTGAATCAATTTTTCAGAATGCTTGTTTTTCAAGTGACAATAAAGAAACCAAATGTATGGGTATAACAACATCCTAAATTTTTGTTGTAGAAGTAGACAATTCAATACAAAAATACACCTTTCCTGATCTCAGTGGAGACAAAGTGCTTTAAATTTGACCCAATACAATTCATCAGAAAGCTTTTTAAAAATTAGACTTTGAAAAAAAAAAGAAATCAAGTGTATTTGTACAACGGCATCATATCTCTCACCTGGGTGTGAAGAGCAACATTTTTATGCTGACATTGAACTATTTGTAGTATTTATCCCGGTACGGTATACCTGAAAGATAAGAAGGGGAGACTGGTGCGCATATCACTGTACTATTTAAAAGACTACATCGTGAATGGCTCAGAGGGTTTTTTTCTGTACATTTAAACTCTCAAACACGTTTCGTTTCCCTTTTTTTCTCACTCTCAGATTATGCTTTATTCCTTTCTAATGATGCTCCGATTTACTTGTGTATATCTCTTCATTCAGATTGTGAAAATCCACTCGTCTCATTCATTTCTTTGCCTGCTTATACTGGATTAGCTATAAGTGTTCTCTCTCATGTCTGCTCTGTTTTTAAAGGAGAAGTCGCACCTTTGAACAGCTTTCGGAGCATACTCAGTTTTGGTTGGAGAAATGTGAGGAAAGTCAGATGAAATGCTCATGAAACAAGGAAGGAGACGTCTTTTAACAGATTTGCACATTGCTGTCTAAGTGAACACTCTTCTAATCTACTGAATGAATAATCGCTGGAAAGTATTCACCACTCATAACTTCTAATACATATTTGGCTCTCTTGACAACTTGCATGTCTCTCCTTGCAGCTATGTCTCACGCATGAGTGATCGGACCAATGGTGTTTAGGGAGACATCGAATAAAATTTTGTTATAAGTCTTGATTACCTCAGAGTGATCTTACACCTGGCAGTGGCTGATAATGTTATAAGGGTCACGAGATCAAGTTCTGAAAGAGTGGAAAAGTTTGTTTTAAGGTGCGACGGGTCCTTTAAGCATCACTAGTTGATAATCTTAATAATGTTGATATTTTCAAAAAATAAACAGTTTTGAATACAAGTGCCTGCTGTTTATTTTTTTTACTCAAAAACTCATGTTCAAGTTCATGTCTGAGATGTTATTGTCAGTCTTTGTTCATATTTTCAGCTCTGAGAACCAAACACAATGGAACAAGTTGACATGAAATAATAGATTGCTAAAATAATTATTTACAAGCTACTTATGAAAACAATACTTACGTACTTGAGATGGTTATAAACTCACAGCTTTTGCCGGACAAATGTTATCTGTTGCACTGCACAGTTTCCATGCACTGGATTTGCATATATACCCTCTCGCACACATGCACTAAAAAGGTAAATGCACACAATTTTATTACCTCATTTCGTGTCCCTAGAACTGTAATCCTCAGTGTTCTTCCAAATTGGCACCAAACGGTCTGGAATGTGAACTATGAAGGAGAAACTATTCTTGTAAAATTTGAAAGAGCCAGAAGAGTTTTTGAGGTGAAAGAGAGCCACAACACACTACTAAAATAAGGAATGTAAATTAAGATAGTCGCAGTTTGTTTGGTGGGCGTTTTTCAGAAAAATGTTTTAAAACTTTTAGTAAAGAAAAAAAGTTGTTTTCATTTTAAAAGCTGTGTAGCGTTCTCAGTCAATTACACTTTCAGTGGCTTTAACTTGTATTTAAACCCCAAAAATTCAAGTTCTTTTTCTTCCCTTTAAACATATTACAGAAGATAACAAATATTATATCTGATTACATAATCACGTTCACATAAAATCGACCTCTGTGTGATATTTGCTGCCATATGCTTTTTACACTCCTTCCTCATGTGCATCGCTCAGTTATAGCATTTTATCATTTCTGTGTTTGTGGGGAGAATTCACTGTTTCTCTTGGAAGGATATCCCCTCCCCCACCCCCCACAAGCTCAGATATTTATATACCTTATGCAATGTCATGATGGAGGTGTATTACATTTGTGTAATCCATGTACCTGTTTGTCTTATTTCTAATTCCAAATTATTGAGACTTCAGTGTAAGTAACAAAAAGAAGAAGTAAAAAGAATGTAATGTGAAGCCTGTCTTTTTTTTTTTTTAACAATAAATGCTTAGTAATTTGTTATGTTACATTGCTTTATTGCTCCTATAGTCCTTTTGAAATGTAAACTTAAAGAAATATGAATATCATCGTTGATATTTACACTCGGGCAACCCTGATTAGGTGATGGCTTTTTTCAAATACCTTTCAGAAGTATGACAATCCTTAAGCTTGCTTCAGCTCGTGTTCTTGAGTCTCAATAGTTTGAGCATTTACTTTGATAGATATTATTGTGGCATTTCTCTGTAGTATGTGACTCGATTAACACTTGATTTGTCTGTACACCGTGTGCTCCAGCAGGGCAAGTCTTTGTCTGTTGTCTGAACATGTAAGGTTTGAAATGGCTCCCACTCATCCCGGGTCTGGTGAGTGCTCTACCTTCGTACTAGATCGAATTATAATCAATGAAAGTTTATAAAGTTCGAGAAAGGTGAGTTAACAACAATGAAGTGAATATTACTAACAACGACCTTTGCTTCTTTTTTCCCTTTCTTAAAATTTCAGAGCAAAAAACGGCTGGAAATTAGAAAAGTATGAAAAGAAATTTGGAAGTGGTCCACTTTTGTATTGTCCTATAAGAGTGGCCCTTAACCTCAAGTGATAACACATTCTCTTTTCATCGTGAAGACATCGGGATATCTGATGTGGAAAAAGTTGCAACAAGCCCGGCATATCCCCCACTGACAACGAGCTGTGTGGGCGTACAGCCTGGAGGTTTCCCTCACCGCAGCCAGCCGGTCGTCAAGCCAACGGGAAAAGAGAGACTATTTGTGCAGGCACAAACACACCTGTTTTCTCAAGCTGGACCTTATGGATTTTTGGTGATGTTTCGAATCTGGCTGGGTTTTTTCTTTTCCATGGATGCCATGCGAACACACCGTGTACAGAACTGTGCTTCAAGGCAGTTGGGTTTTTTTTTTTTTTTTTTTTTTTTTCGAAGTTCAAAGAAAAGAAAAAAGTCAGTTGCCTTGAGACTGGTACTACATCGATATCATTTTATGTTTTTATTCAATGTTTCTGAGTTGACACAACAAATGGAGCATCTAATCCCACCATTTAATGTCTTTGAATGATTTTATTTTGTAATGTTAATGTGAAGCAATGGAGATGAGTGAGAATGTTTCTTATTTCGTTAACCTTCAGCATACTTGCTCTGAAGATAAAAGATGCTGATATAAACAGCAGCATGAATTAAGATCCATATTTAACAGTGCCCTGAGGAGTGATGTATTTTTTTATATGACGTGAATTTAGCTCACAGAGCACCTTTTTTTCATCATCAAATATCCTCATTCTCTTCCATACATGTGTGCTTTTTGTAATTTCATCCATTTGTTTTTTAAGAATTGAGCGAACTGAGAATCTTTGTGGAGAACGAAAGAAAGGAAATCTAAACAACTCTGAAAGAGTGCAATATGATTATGTGTGTGTTTATGTTATAAATATATGTGTGTATGTATGTCTGTGTGACAAAATGGTGGAATTGAGGGCTTGTCAATTTTTACCGATATGGAGTACTTAAAGCCTGATCATTCGTTTTATTTTTGAGGGAAGAAATATCCATAATAATATAAGTCGTGAAATTTGTGGCTGGAGGACGGGATCAATTGTTTTCAGGTAAAATAAGCGAGAAAATTTCCACCAAAGTTTAGTGACTTCTAAACTTTGAAGGTCCTTGGAAACTACAACTTTTCATTTGTTGTGCCTTTTCTCTTCTTTTTTCAGTGCAGGCCATGCAGAAATTTTTTTTATATGGACTTAAAAGGTGCTGAGAAAAAAGAATAAATAAATAAATAAATAAATAAATAAATAAATAAATAAATAAATAAATAAATAAATAAAAATTACCCCACAGGCAGAAAAGTGTCAGCTTCTTTGATTTCATTATTTTGACGAGCACCTGATTTCTCCACGGTGCCACTTGTATACATATGAATACACACACACAGTCAGGCACAGGTAACAAGAACACTGAAAACTCAAAATCATTGATAGCTCGTACAATTTGCCATTCCCCAACTGATATCTCTTTAAGCTTTAGTTAGATTGGTTTACCCAAATACTGGATGTGTCAAACACATTTGTCAGTTTCTGACGTGTTTGAGTTATCTGTGCCTGACTGTGCGCATGTGTATGGGCATGTGCAAGTGTGTGTGTGTGTGTGTGTGTGTGGGGGGGGGGGGGGGGGGGTGTGGGTGTGTGCTCAAATTGCCTGTGTGGACAACATTTGCTTTCATCTCTTTTCAGTCATCCTAATGTACTTGGCAAATATGTTTGCTGCAGTCTGTGTTTTCTTGAATTTTGCATCCCTTTTGTTCAAGCCTGAATTGAAAGGTTCGAAAAGCATTGAATTTTATTATCTCCTTGCTTGGATTTTATGACCTTGGGAAAATCTGCAGATTTTTATGAACATCAAAATGACAGCTTTTGATTTCAAGAAGTGAAATTGTTATCTCAAATCCAATAATGAAGATGCTTATAATGAGAACAATCTGGACTTAATATTTTTATTCTAACCTCAGCCACTGCTTTGTGAGCTTCAAAAATGTTGGTTACTAAAATGAGAATTTGTATTTGAAGATTTACAGTGTTCTACAGAATGATTTTATTGTGAAACTTTTTCCCTGAAGTAAGTTTTTCATCTGGACACTATCCTAATTGTTTTTTAAACAAAATGCAGCGGCATGACAAACAAAATGTTTCACATAATTTTTTCATGCACATATTTTAAACATTTCTACTCATTCGTTCTGCAGCAGAAGCTAATTGAGATTTTCTTATAATGAAGTAACTGCTGAGGACATACAAACCCATAGCTAACTATTCCACACTAAGACCATCAGACAAGTATTTCACAGTATGTTTTGTTTATATTGCCTTAAAAATGGCCTATCATGATAAGGATATTGAGTTTTTTCAAACCTATAAGAGTTTTAGGTTCTCTTTTACAGAGGCAGTGATTTAAAACTTGGATTGGTTGTTTGGCAGCACTGAAAGAAATGCTTTGACCTGTTTGCAGAATATTGAACCTGGAATGGGTTAAGTTTCGTCTCTTGGGAGACGGCTATCAAAAATTTTCATTTTCTAATATTGCTTTTACTGTGAGCTTGGTATAGCACTACTTGCAACAGTGAGCCAGTTTCTTTGAAGGTGTGAAAAGATATTGTTTTTACCTATGGAAAGTCTATGACTACATACTACTTTTGAAAATGAAGAGAAAAAACAGGATGAAAAATATGTATGTGTGTGTAACTTTTGAGAGCATGTGAGTGTGTGGGAAAGAGAGCTTCGGGATAATGTATATTGTATTTGGAAAGACACTACGTATTGTTTACTACATGTTTCCTTTTATCATGTTAACTGTAGCGCTCACAATAGAAATATGTTCTATGCTGCAAATATAGCCTCAGACTTCAGCTCTAAAGGCATTATTAACAGATGATGATTTCCAAAATCAAGCAATTTCAGTATAGTGAAAGCAGTTAAGGGGCTAGATTATTACCAAATTTTAATGTAGTTCATAAAACCATCCAAATTTAGCTATTAGAAATTACACAGAGTAAACCAATGTTCACATGTGCATGCTTTGCAACAAAGAAAGTTACCTCCAACCAAGAATTCAAGCTTCTTGCAATGCAAACTAGATCTTTCTAGAGTTGCCTTGGAATTTACATTTTCTGTATATAGTGAGGGTATTTTCTATGTCGCATCAACCCGATAGAGCGATGTAAATTTTACTTCTGATGTTACTTCCTCATAAGTGTTTTTAAGATAAAACATATGTCGAGACGCGGTGGAATCACGGGCTCATCAATTTTGGGACATACCAAGTTATTAGTATCATCTTTACCCTTCTCCCTCCGAGACCTAACATTGACAACACACTCTATGGAACATTACAGCAACTGCAGCAAACCTGCACTTATCACTACTTGGCATTGGACAGAAGGGCGAGAGCCCAGCTGTTGCTGGATGGATAACAACAACAACCACAACATTAGTATCATCTTAAAGCTTATTCATTTGTCTTGCATTTGGCATACACAGTACCCAGCTATCTTGAATAGACGTTGAGATATTTGCGATAGGAGGTAGGGGTCACCTGGTATAAGAGGTAACAATAGCGAGAAAAAGGCCCCCAAAGTTTGATGATTTCCAAAGCTTGGGTGTCCTTGGAACGTGGAAATTTACATTTTTCGTGCCTTTAGTGAATGTTTTTCGGTAACATCCACAAAAAAATATGTTTTTAAATAGACATAAGATATGATGAGCCCCCCAAAAAAGGAGAAAAAGTGCCCAACGCCCAAAAAAATACCATTTTCTTTTATTTCATTATTTTGACGAGCACCTGATTTCACCACGCTGCCTCACATATGGGCTCCTCTGTCTTGGCCTGCTTTTCTCATGGAAAGAGCTGTCAGTTTAATTCTGGTCTTGAATGCCTTTCGAGAACAAATGATAGAAAATAGAAAAGCTCCCGACTCCTCTAATATTATTGAAACTTGTTGACCAAGTATGGTACTGATGTTGGTGCAGTGGAATTTTTTCTTCATTTTTCTAGGGTAATGTACAACAGCAAAGCTAATAATAATATAGTCCCTGTAAACCATATTAGAGACGAGAACACATGCAGAGGTCGACTGGAAAGTGTAACTTTTTTGTTTAAGTTGCCACTATAAAAAGTTCCGGACACTTCTGTTTTGACCCCAATCTGTGATACAAACGGATATTCACATTTATCTATTCACATGGTGTGGTGTAGCATGTTCTTCATGTACACAGGAGCACAACAGTTTGTATTGGAGACTGCAACTTTTGTGCATGCTTGACTCAGTCCTATGAGTTGAAATGCTCCACTTTCATGCCCAATAGTTTCTGCCAGCAGTCCTGAAATAATACAAAATTAGTTTTATTGTCTTTTACGAATGAACATCATTGTATTTATATCAGTTTGGCCAATTGGGGATATTTATATGATGCGTAACCTGATGACTACTTAAAATTTGTTGTGTTTTTTTTTACAAGTTGAAGATGCTGCTTTATTAGACAGGTGTCCGGTCCCCTGTATTGGGCTTTTCTGGCCAATGTTTCCGGAGAAATTTAACCTTATCCGTAGGTCGTGTTTTACTATCGTATCCATACGACGTGGGGAACTCTGTGCCACCATTCCAAAGTGAAAATTTACTTGTTAATCCAATCCGAAGCAGTCGGTCAAAATGATTTTTTGAGAAATACTGAAAGTTTCAAAGAGATCTTTGCTCTAGAAGTGGTCTACAATGGGAAGAATACAACCCCAGGGGTACAAAATGACCCCTGAGCGTACGGAGAGGGTTAACAAACCAGTAGACAGGTATTTTCACTACAGTACAGGGGTATTTTCGCCAACTTCAGACACAGTGGGACAAGGTTAATAATGTCAACAGTCGTAATATCTTACACCAATACTGAAAGTTGATTTCAGTTCCGAAATGAAGCATAATTATTTTCATAGAGGGACAAGTTCATACATCTCATCTTACACCAATACTGAAAGTTGGTTTTACTTCCAAAATAAAGTATGATTATTTTATATGTTTATCGCCACCATTTATTTCTTTTTTGTTCTAATCTACCCATCATACTTAATTTTTTTTATTTTTGTAATTTTTTTACCTGTTATGCAGAAGAAAAAGATTGTTACTCTTGTATTTAGTTGACAATTTTGTACTTTTGATATTTAGTCCTACATATAGAGCTCAAATAATTTTGAATATTTTTTTGATAAAAGAAAGTTTAGGAGTGCTTGATAAAGAAAAGGAATAGAAATGTCTGATTCAATAACTATTGACAGTAGACTCGATCATGGAAAGATTTTGTTTTAATGCATTGATTTCCACATCTTGATGTCCAGGGGAATGCCTAACAGGTCATATCGAAAGGGTAAAAATTTCACAACAAATGACGTTTAGGAAAAGGTTATCACATTGCTGTATGTGAAATTATCTATTTTAATGTCTAGATATCAGTTTACTTAAAACCATGGTGCTTAACTCATGTGGACTAGTACAAAACAAAAGTTCTCTACATCAATGGCTCAGAAAACACGACCCCCAGTCTTTAAAAAATTATAAATGAAAATTCCCTGTTTTGCCCACATCTTCAATCGATCTTAATCTAGGGAGTGTTAATTGAGGTGTGCTTTTTTTACTTTTAGGCTGTGTCTAGAAATTGTATACATGGGTATCCCTCTCAGTGGTAATTTCATAAAACTGTCTTAAAATTAATAAATTAGTAGCTTGACCTTTTCAATTTTTTTTTTTTTTTTTTTTTTTTTTTGGGGGGGGGGTTAGAAAAAAAATGGCGTTTTTGTCTGTATGGACCAAAATGATTATCTCAGATAA